GAAAGATGGTGGAACCTCAAATGCATATTGCTAAGTAAAAGAAGCCAGTATGAAAAACTACGTACTGTATGATTTCAACTATTTGACCTTCTGGTGAAGGCCTAACTAGAGAGAGTAAAAAGATCAGAGGTCACCAGGGGTTCAGGGGAGGAATGAATAGGGGAGCACAGGGCATTTTTAGGGCAGTGCAACTACTCTGTATGATACTGTGATGGTGGATACAGGACACTATACATCTGTCAAACTCATATGATGTACAAAATACTAAGAGTGAATCCTAATATAAACTGTGGGTTTTAGTTAGTAATAATGTATCAATATTGATTCATCAATTGTAACAAATACACTGCAGTATTGCAAGATGTTAATAACAGAAGGAACTGCAGTAGAGAGAGGGAGTATATGGGAATTCTGTGTACTTTCTGAGCAATTTTTATGTAAACCTAAAACTGCTCTGAAAAATAAAGTCCATCTTTAAAAAAGAGCAAAAACCCTGCACATATGCCTCCCATATGACCCAGCCATTCTACTCCTAGGCATTTACCCAAGAGGAATAAAGGCACATGTCCACATAATGACTTGTGCATGAATATTCCTAGTAGTTTTACTTGTAACGGCCCAAAGTAGGAACAATTGAATGTTCATCAACAAGTTGTGAATGGTTAAACAAATTGAGGTATATATGTGATATAGAATTCTACTCAGCAATAATAAAAAGGAACAATAGTGGCTGAATCTCAGAATAATGTATACCGAGTATAAGAAGCCAGATAAGAGTACACACTATGTAATTCCACTTAAATGAAAATTCTAGAAAAAGGATGCCAATTCAGTGGCAGAAAGCAAGCAGATCAGTGGTTGCCTAGGGGAGGCTGGCAGATGGGAAAGGGCGGGAGGGCGGGATTATCTAGGGGCCTGAGGAAAATTAAATGGGTGATGGGCAATCTGGATTATGGTAATTATTTTATGGATACATGTATATACATGTCAAAACAAAAATGTACATTTTAAGTGTATGTAATTTATTGTATGCCAACTATGCCTTAATAAAAGATGAGGGTTTCAATAAAAACCATTAGGAAAATGGAAGAAATTTTGTATACAATAAATTACAGATGTACCCAAGATTTAAATATAAAAAATGAAAACAAAAATACAACCAGGAGCTAAGGAAAAGATTTTTTAGTTATCTCAGTGTGGGAAAATTCTTTTCATTTTATTTTAAGATTTTATTTATTCATTTTTAGAGAGAGGGAAAGGGAGGGAGAAAAACATTAAAGTGATAGAAACCTCGATTGGTTGCCTCTTGTACAGACCCCGGCCGGGGACCGAACCCACAACCCAGGCGTGTGCCCTGATTGAGAATCCAGCCATCCAAACCGGCAACCTTTCCCTTTGTGGGACAGTGGCCACCCAACTGAGCCACACTGGTCAGGGCTGGAAAAGGTCTTTTTAACTATGACACAAAACTCACAAAAATTGATTTTACTATATTTAAAAATCTGTACAGTGAAGTCAAAATGATAAACTGAAGCAAACACAGTTTACATCTTGAAGGCCTATTTTTCCTTCAAACCTTTATATGTCAGTCAGAAACCAAAAATAGCAGAGAAACGGGCAAAGACAAAGGTGGTTCACAGAAAAGACAAACAGCCCTTATACATATGAAACAATGCTCAAAGTCAAAAGAAAAAGAAATACAAATTTAAATTTCACCAAGAGACCGTTTTCCTCTTATTAAAAAATTAATAATTTTTAATAAAATTTAAAATCAGGCCAAAATTAAAAATCAGGTACCTGCCCTGACTGATGCTGCTCAGTGGGTTGGGTATTTTCCTGCAAAGGGAAAGGTTTCCAGTTTGATTCCTGGTCAAGGCACATGCCTGGATTGGGGGGTTCAGTCCCTTGTTGGTGCATATGTGAAAGGCAACCAATGGATGCTTTTCTCCCTCTCTTCCTCCCTTCTCCCTCTCTAAAAAAAAAAAAGGATAAATAAATGTATATATATATATGTGTGTGTGTGTGTGTGTGTGTGTGTGTGTGTGTATTTTAAATCAGATACATCCCCTATTGGAGAGTATTCTGGAAAACAGCCTTCCCATGCACTGTGGAGGTGGGAGTCAGTGTGAGCATAACCTCCATAGAAGAACGTTTGGCAAAAATCATCGAAAAGACAATTTTGGCTTGGCTTTTGCTGAACAATTCTTTTACGTATTCAACCCACAGATATATTTTTACAGTTGAAAAACAGTGTCCTTACAAAGTCTTAGTGACACTCTGTAGTACTGTGTGTAACAGCAGAAATCTCAAAACAACTTATATGCTGATCAATAAGGAACAAGTTATGGTACATCTCTAAAGAGGAGCACTATACAGCTGTCAAAAGGGATGTATGGTTAAGGGACCATTTTAAAAATGTTGATAAGTACACAAGAGGATGCAAGGAATTCTTCTATTTGAGTGGGGGTTTTTGTTGGGTTTTTGTTGTTGTTGTTGTTGTTGTTGTTGTTTTTCATGGGGCCCTGGCTCGTGTGGCTCAGTGGATTGAGTACCAGCCTGCAAACAGAAGGGCCACTGGTTTGGTTCCTGGTCACGCCTGAGTTGTGGGCCAGGTCCCCAGTTGGGGGTGTGCAAGAGGCAAGCAATCGATGTTTCCCTTTCTCCTCCCTTACCCTCTCTCTGAAAATAAGTAAATAAAATCTTTTTAAAAAATAAAAAACAAAAAAAGGGGTGCAACACATCTGCATACTTGGTGTGGTCTCTTTCCTCACACCACTTCTTGTACCAAACGTGTTTTTCCCCCAGATATCAGATGCATGTGGTTTTCCTTCCCAACCAATTCTCCACCTCTGCAACACCCACTGGGTGCCTACAGTTCAACTCAATTCCGACACCAATTCCTGGAGTGAGCACAGACCCCCCTAGGTTAAGGACTCTGCCCCACACAAGTCCAGCCACAAATGGGATGCCCAGGCGACCCCCACTGTCTGGCCAACCACAAATGTGAGGGGGCCACGAACCCCTCCTCAGGTTTGAGAATTTAGTACTAGACTCACAGGACTCAGGAAAGTGCTTTACTTACTATTACCAGTTTATTAAAAAGGATACAACTCGGGAGCAGCCAAATCGGAGAGACGCATGGAGTAAGGAATTGAGGGGGAAGGGGAACAGAGCTCCTGCGCCCTCTGCAGCTCAGCCCCGGGCCCAGCACCTGTGTCCTCCAACCCAGACTCTCTGAATCCCCAGTCCCTCCACAGGTTAGGGGAGGGGGCGGCAGGGGAGGGGGGGTGAGTCGGGGCACTGGGTGAGAGCGGAGATCTTCCTGATGACCAGCCCCACCCTAAGTCACTCATTAGCATACACTCAGGTGTGGTCCAAAGGGGACTGACTCTTTTCTCCTATGACTCAGGAAATTCCAAGGGTTTAAGGAGCTCTGCGCCAGGAACCAGGGCAAAGGCCAAATGTATATATTATTTATCACATCACATTTGGTAATGTAGGTTTGGATTCCTTTCTGGGAGGATATAAGCTATTACTGTCATTGCTTCCAGGGACAAGAGCCAGGGGGCTAAGAGTCAGGAATAGGAGGTGGCTTTTGGTTCAAAATTCAAAATGTACATGTGAATATATCGCCTATTTGAAAAACCAATGCTTTGTAGTCCTTGCCTTGGCTCCTAATGCCGGCAGCCTCCAGGTTTTCTTACCAGGAGAATCATGTCCCTATTTTGCGCCATCTGGGCCAGGGACTCTCTCCATCTTCTGTTCCAGCCCCGAAGACACCCGACCCCCCAGCCTCTCTGTAGGCAGAGTTCTCCTCTTGTACTTGTAACACATTTGAGCTCCACTCTCCCTTTTTTTTTTTTTTTAAGATTTTATTTATTTTCAGAAAGAGGGGAAGGAAGGGAAACAGAGAGGGAGAGAAATATCATTGTGTGAGAGAAACATTGATTGGTTGCCTCTCGCACACCCCCAACCAGGGACCTGGCCCGCAACCCAGGAATGTGCCCTGACTGGGAATCGAACTGGCAGCCTTTCAGTTTCCAGGCCAGTGGTCAATCCACTGAGCCACACCTGTGAGGGTCAGCTCTATCTTGACACAGTCCTAAACTTTTCTAGGATTAACTCATTCAACGCCCATTTTAGCATAATACCCATTTTACAGATGAGGCAATGGAAGGGATTAAATAATATTTCAAGTTCATACAGGAAGCAGGAATTTGCGCTTAAGATGTCTGGCACCAGACACCAAGACTTAATCATTACTCTGGACTGTCTTTCTAAGAATACCCTTCCTCATAAGCACCCCCACCCGCCAACCTCATGGGCAAAGCTGACATTGTCAAAGGCCCAGTTCAAATCCCACCTTCTCTGGAAAGCCTTCCGGACACCTTCATTAACCTGCAACATTTTTGGGAGGGGGTGTTCTATAATAGCTCCATTGTATTTGACTGCAGCCCAGGGCAAAAACCTAATCCCTAAAAGACATGGCCCCACAGGCATTCCTCGTGTAGAGCTGTTTCCCATTTGAGCCTTTTCAGTCCAGTCTGCTCCAGGCCCTCCTAAGGGCTGCGCAGACCTCCTCTCGTGCCATCCCGTCTACACTGTGTGGATCTCATCATCCGTGAGCCATGTCATAGAAGGGAAATTGAGGCTGGCTAGGCATGACTGGCCAGCAATGGGAAGGAGAAGAGCTATTACAGAACCTGTTGTGTTCGTGGGTCTCAACCAATGACATCTAAACGTGACAGGAACCCTCGCCCCGAGCGCCTTCCCCACCCCAACCCTGGGTCAAGGAGCTAGGCCAGGGCCTGAGCACAGTCGGTGTCCTGGGGACACGAGTTTATTAGAGTGGGTACAAGTTGCAGGTTGGGGGGGGGGCAGGGGGCTTGGGCAGCACTGGCAGCCTGAGGCCAACACGACAGGAGGCCAGGGCCGCGCCCGGGGAGCGTGGGGTCAGCAGGCAGGTGGGCGGGCTGCTCTTCGCCTGCGAGGGTCGGCGTCTAGGGCATCGAGGGAGGCTCCGGGAGGACTGGGGCAAGAGGGACAGACAGAGGCTCAGGGAGCAAACTTGCCAAGCTCACACAGCCAGGAGGTGGCAGCGCTGGGACACGGGCCCAGACCAGCTGCTCCCCAGGCCCCGCGTCCTGGGTCCTGGTGTCTCTTCCTCTCACTCTGTCAGGCCCCACACCTGCCTCCCAGGCTCCTGAGCCCACGCCCCGCCATCTCCTGTCCCCAACTCACTGTGGAGGGTGTAGGTGCCTGGCTCCAGATGCAGCTGGGGGGGCAGGACCATGAGGAAGCCCACACCCCAGGGGTCTTCAGCCACTGAGAGACAAGCGTGGGAAGGCAGGCAGTACCACTCAGGGTTGGGGGAAGGACACTTGGGTAAGACCGGCAAGAGGCGGGACTGGTGGCAACAGTGGCTGTAGAGCGAGGGCACACCGCAGAGGGAACAGTAGGGCGGTGAGAGGCCGGGGCCCGGGGGGAGGGGACCCCGGGCCTTTGGGCAGCTCCTCTGAGCCCCGCCGTGGTGGGGGCGCCGCTCCCGAGTCCAGGCCCAGTGGTACGGCTCCTCGGCCATGACCTGGTGGGCGTGGAGGAAACAGTGACTGCGGTGGGAGGGCCAGCCTCTCTCCCTCCCCAGGACACCATCGGGGCCTCACCTCCTCGCAGCACTGGCGGCTCACAACAGCCCGGAAGCCCATCCTCGCCCACAGCTGGTCCCTCCGACGCAGGAAGTCTGCCACCTGACTATGCCAGTTTTTGCCCAGGGCCCATAGAAAAATCACACATTTGGCATCCTCCAGGTCCTCCTCCATGTCATTTGCAAGGAACCTGGCCACAGAGGTGGGGGGCGGGCAGAGGCTCTAAGCGTCTGCCCTGTCCCATCCCACACCTCAGAGCAAGTGTCTCCACCACCCACCGGGGACGCTCACAGTGCCAAGAACAGGTTGCTGCAGGTGTACTCGCTGAGCTTCAGGTTGGCACGCCGGAAGTAGACCAGCACCATGGCCAGGAGATACTGCGGACACAGAAGGGGGGAGGTTCTAGTCAGGCACCGGGGGTGCGGACTGAGCCAGGCCCGTTTGCACCCAAGGGAGTTCTGGCGGGGGTTAGGGAAGCTGGGGTGAAAAATAAATTTAAATTGAAAAATTCAAAAATAAAATAAAATAAAATTTACTTCCAATTTAAAAAAAATAAGAAAAACTGGGGTAAAATGTGAAGAGCAGTAGGCAGAGACAAGGGTTAAAAAGGCAGGTGCTCCCTCCACCAGACAAGGGGACGCAATGAATTAGCAGCCCAAGAGGCCCACTAATTCAGCCTTCCCCGAGTGACCCCAGCTTCTACCCACACTATGTCCCCTCACTTTATCTGAAATCTGGAAACAGGGGTCTCTGGAGAGGAATTCCTGAAGGAGACTGTGCTCTGGGGGTAGAGAGGAGAAATGGTAGACGGGGGTTACCACCCGCCTCCCACAAGACAAGGGAAGCATCCACTGCACCCACTTTCTGGCACAACCCTTGTCCCCCAACCTGCCAAACCAGGGTCACCTCAGAAGGGAAGGGACGGAGACTACAGACCCTTGAGCAGGCAGTTTGCGATCCCATGTCCCACGTCTGTTTAAGACTTGGTCCTCACAGCCCCCTCCCTTGCCAGCCCCAAGCCAGCTTACCCAGGAGGCTGAGAAAGGCCTGGAGCTCCTGGTGCTGGCGGAAGCAGACAGCCCTGCTGCCCCCGTCTGGATGGCTCCAGCCCCACAGCTTCACCTGGGTGGCAACCACATGGGCAGGGTCTTGGGCTTCACTCATCTCATAGGGGATGGGGGGGCGGGTGGGGTGGGGAGGGGATGGGTGCCCTGTAGAGAAAGGAGCCCCACTTCTTAGCACCTGTCCCCTCTCCCCCACAGGTTGAAGGGGTTGGTGAGGCTGGTCGGAGAGAGGCTCTCCAGCAGGTGGGGGATGAAGATGGAGACTCGGGGGCTGGGGACAGAAGCAAACTGGGAGGCTCGGAGGGTGGGGAGGCCAGAGAAGCAGCAGCTCCTGGCGCCCAACCCTGCCACTCCAGCCTGGGCCAAGAGTAAGGACAGCAGCAGCAGGCACCACTGAGGGGGCCCTAAGTGCCTGGGGCTGTGCTAAATGCTTTAAGGGCATCATCTTTTTCATCCCGGTTGGTAGGTATAACCAAAGATCCATTTCACAAACACGGAAACAAGTGCGGAAGACTCATGGCCGCCCAAAAGTGAAGACTGCCTGACCTCTAAAGCTAGAGATTGATTGCTCCTCTTGCCGCCCCCATCACTCATAATCGCCCCCCAGCATGCTCCAAGGAGGCAGACTTTACAGAACCGCCAACCCCCTTACTTCACGGAAGGAAAACTGAGGCCCAGAAAGAGGGATGTTATTATACAAAACCTTGGGGCCATTTCAAATATTCCAAGCTACAGAGAAAGACGCCGCCTGAGGGACTCAGGAGAAGGTGCCATCCCCCACCCCGCAGTCAACCAGTCAACGGGAGAGCCTCCATCTAGGACCGCACGGGCAGACCAGACTCCCTCCACGCTCCAGAAGCCTCACCTGAGCTCAGGGATTACCTACAGCGTAACTAGCAGCCGCCAGCACTGCCCTTATATAGCCTGACAGCTGCCACGCCCACAGCACTCCACCAATCAGACCTCTTCCCGGGGGTGGGGCTTTGGGCCCGTTCCCACCTCGACCTGGGGTAAATCCAGGCTCCACCAGCTGCCCAAGGTAAAATCTTCTCCAAAGCTTCATCACCTACAAAGAGGGGTGAAGGCAGACCAGCTGGACCCCATGGCCTGAAAGGTGGTCGGGACCGTCCCCACCTCTACAAATGTGGAGTCAAGGCGCACGCCGGAAATGAGGCCTGGGCTGTGCCGAGTGACTGATGGGTAAGTTAAAATCCTCCGACTGTGCCTTGCCGGGGCAGGGTCGCGGGATGTGTCTGTATTTTCTTCAGATCCAGGAATCCCAAAACCTGGGAGCCAGAGACGGCATTGTCCTGCCGTGAGAATTCTCAGCGGCCACATCGTCTTCCCAAGATCCTTTGCAGTGGGGAGAGCCTGACCGGTGGCTCCAGGTTGGCGGAGGAGGCCTTTGCCCAAAGCCACCAAGCTGCCCCCGCCCCGCCCTGGCTCTGCCACTCCACCTCGCGCCCTCCCACCCGCAGCCTTCTTTCCAGCTTCCTGTCTTCACTGGCTCACTGACTTTGTCCACAATCCTATGGGACAGCCAGCGCCTACGTTATTTTCCACGTTTGACTAGGGACTTTTTCCTCTTTTTTGTAAAATACAGATAACATAAAATTTACTACCATAATCATTTTCAAGTTTAGTGGGTTTAAGTACATTCATATTGTGAAACCAACAACCACCATTTATCTCCAGAGCTCTTCGTTTTGCAAAACGGGATCTCTATGCCCAGGAATCACAAACTGCTTACTCTCCCTCCACCAGTCCCTGGTGCCGCCGTTCTGTTTTCTCTCTGGGTACCTCACATAAGTGGAATCAGACAATATCTGTCTTTTTATGACTTTCATTTCACTTAGCCTAATGGCCGCAGGTCCACTCGTGCGGTAGCATTTGTCAGAACCTTCTTCCTTTTTAAGGCTAAATAATACTGATTCTATGTCTATGCCACGTTTTGATTATCCATTCGTCCATCGATGTACACCGAGGATTGTTTTCATACCTTGGCGCTGCTATGAACACGGATGTACAAGTACCCCAAGATCCTGTTTCAATACTTTGGGTTATATACCCAGAAGTGGAATTTCCGGATCTATTTTTAATTTTTTGAGGAAACGTCATATTGTTTTCCCCAGCTTTTGCACCATTTTACATTCCCACAAACAGTTCACAGGGTTCTCATTTCTCCACACTTTTTTTTTTTTTTTTTTTTTAAAGATTTTGTTTATTTATTTTTAGAGAGGGGAAGCCAGGGAGAGAAGGAAACATCAATGTGCGGTCGCACCTTGCGCGCCCCCTGCTGGGGACCTGGCCTGCAACTCGGACTTGCCCTACACTGGGAATCCAACCGGGACGCTTTAGTTCTCAGGCCAGCGCTCAATCCATTGAGCCACACCACCTAGGACTCATTTCTCCACATTCTTGCCAGCATTTGTTATTTTCTGTTTTGTTAATGGTAGCCATCCTAGCAAGTGTGAGGTAGTAACAGGTGACTTAAAATATGTATTTAATTGCCCTGATGCGAGTGGCTTAGTTGGTTGGGCATTGTCCCAAAAAGGGAAAGGTCGCCAGTTCAATTTGGGTCAGGGCACGTGCCTGGATTGTGGGCCAGCTCCCCAGTCAGGATGTGTATGAGAGGCAACCAATTGATGTTTCCCTCCCTCTCTGTCTCCTTTCCCCTCTCTCTAAAAATAAATAAATAAAATCTTTTTAAAAAACGTATGTATTTGACAGAAATGGAGACCCGTGAAGAAGTTGAATAATTTGATCTCAAAGTCTTGCCTCTGTGCTCACCCCAGCAGCACATGTACTAAAACTGGAATGACACAGAGAAGATTAGCACGGTCCCTGCACAAGGATGACATGCAAATTCATGAAGCGTTCCATATTTTTTTAACCAATGTCACCCCAATAAACTTATGGTAATTAAAAAAATACAGTTAAAAACAAGAAAAAGAAAAGTCCTGCCACTGCTGGCAACAGAAGTGGGCTCAAGTCACAAGCCATCGTGGGGTTGGCGCTGTGAAGTAGGTTTTGTGGTTCTCATCTGCATTTCGAGAGGGTGAGCTGAACCTCCAGAACCCAACCTCCTGACACTTGAAAGAAGGATGAAGGAAATGTGGGCTAGCCCAGGTGGTGGCCGGCCCAGGGCCAGGTGTGCTCTGGGCCCAGAGGCAGACTCCTTCCTGTGACGTGACTGCTCTTCCCTGGTTGGCCGACGGCACCGTCTCTGCTTTGCCCCTGGTCTCGGGCTGCGCCCCTGGTCTCGGGCTGCCAGTGTGGATTTTCACCCCTACGGCCTGCCCCTCCCTTTCCGTGTCTCTCTGTGTCCCTCAGCCTCTCTTGGTGTCTGGGTTTCTTAATCTCTTGATCTCTCTGAGTCTCCGGGTATCTTTGGGTCTCCTGGTCTCTCTGTGTCTTAGAGATTCTCAGTGTTTCTGGGTCTCTCAGTATCCCCGGGTCTATGTTTCTCACTGCTGGTGGGGGCCTCTCTGTGTCCCTCTCAGTCCCAGTCAATATAAGCACCTCTGAATCTCTTGCTTACCCTGGGTCTCTGAATTTCGGTCTCCATGGTGTTTGGGTCTCTCTAGGCCTTTGGATCTCTTTCGGTCTCTGGATGTTTTCAGATCTCTGGGTTTCTGAGTCTCCGTAGGTATCTTGAATCTCTTGGTCTCTCATTCTTTCTGGACTGACTCTTTCCTGTGCTTGGGTCTTATGTCTCCATCTCTCTAGGCTCTCTGGGTTTCATGGTCTCCCTGTGGCCACCTTCCATGCTCCCTGAGGCTAGCAAGGCCATCCCTAACCACCTGGTCTCCATCAGGCCACTCTGGGCGGGGGGTGGGGGGTTGGGTGTGTGTGTGTGTGTGTGTGTGTGTGTGTGTTTTCCTCATGCATTTGTTGTTGGCCTTCTCCAGAAAGGAAGCAGTGATCTTAGCAACCTCCAGAGCAACCCCTATAAACTTATTAAAGTGGCTATAATTGGCTCTGGCCAGTGTGGCTTGGTTGGGCCTCATTCAATAAACCTAAATGTACCCAGTACAGCTCCCAGTCGGGCACATGCCTGGGTTGTAGGATTGGTCCCTGGTTGGGGCACATACAAAAGGCAGCCAATCAATATTTCTTTCTTGTATAGATGTTTCTCTCTTTCTATTTCTCCATCCCTTCCCCTCTCTCTAAAAATAATAATAAGCCCTGGCTGGTGTGGCTCAGTGGATTGAGTGCCAGCCTGCAAACCAAAGGGTTGCTGGTCAGGGCACATGCCTGGGTTGCAAGCAGGTCCCCAGTAGGGGGTGCGTGAGAGGCAACCACACATTGATGCTTCTCTCCCTCCCTCCCTTCCCCTCTGTCTAAAAATAAATTAATAAAATATTTTTTAAAAGAATACTAATGAGACCATAATATTGAATCAGCTCACGTGTTCCTCACAACTACATGGAGTGTTATTAATAGCCTCATTTTACAAATGAAACCAACAGCAGCTAAAACACAGAGTCGGGTTACTTCTGAGAGCTAACATAACTTACTGCCAGCCACAGCCAGTGAGTGGAGAGCCACGTTTCAGCCTGGCTGCCTGGCCCAGGCCCCAAGCTGAAGCGTCAGCCAGGGGTCCTATGTTTCTGGACTGAACCTGACGCAGAGCAGGTGCTCCGTAAAACTGAATGAACTCCCAGACCAGCTGTGTGTTCTGCCTCTCCCCTTCCCTCCACCTTATGTAAGTCTAGGGACCAGTAGTGGGGCACAGAGGAGCCTGTCTTAACCCTGAGTGGGCTTCAGGCCCCTGCCCGGCAGTGTCTTTTTTTGACTTTTTTATTGGGGAAGAATTTAGACATACAGATGTTACTTGTAAAGTAGGGAAATTTTTTGTGTCCCCTTCCCCCCGCTTCCCCCAATGGTAACATCTTGCATAACTACAATACAGTTAGAATCAGGAAACTCACATTGGTACAACAAAACTACAGCTCTTATTCAGATTTTACTAGCTTTTACAAGCCCTTACGTAAAAGTTTTGGCATCTAGTTCTATAGATTTTATTCCATGCATAGACTGGTGTAACCACCACCTCAGTCAGGATGACAATCCTCACAGTGTTCCCTTTCCCTGTGT